CTCACTGGCTGAGCGAGGCGCGGGAGCAACGCCGAGGCTTGCGATCCCGTTGCCGGTCCCCGGTCCGGTATGGGGGCAACACTGAGGGTTGCGATCCGTTGCCGGACACGGAAAAAAAAAAAAAAAAAAAAAAAAAAAAAACAACTCATGGCATCCAAGGATTGCCCTATTGCCAGAATCTAGTATATATTTTTAAAGAAGTCCAAATTATCAAGAATTAAACCCAGTCCTTTCAGCTGGAACCGCCATCTTCCAGTAATTTGCCAAAATGACAAACGCAAAGGGAAGGAGGAGAGGCACCCAATACATGTTCTCTAGGCCTTTTAGAAAACATGGAGTTGTTCCTTTGGCCACATACATGCGAGTCTGCAAGAAAGGTGATATTGTGGACATCAAGGAAATGGGTACTATTCAAAAAGGAACGCCTCGGACCGAGCCCATGGCGCACTTGGGAGAGTGTGGCGCTGGGAGCTCAGCAGCGCTCCCGCCGTGGGTTCGGATCCTATATAGGGATGACCGGTGTGCTCACTGGCTGAGCGCAGTGCGGCCGGTCTCAAAAAGGACAAAAAAAAAAAAAACCCAAAAAGGAACTCCTCACTAAGGTTACCAAGTTAAGGGCAAGATTCTTGCCAAGAGAATTAATGTCTGTATTAAGCAAATACACTCTAAGAGCCGAGATAGTTTCCTGAAATGTGTGAAGGAAAATGATTGGAAAAAGAAGGAAGCCAAAGAGAAAGGAACCTGGGTTCCACTGAAGTGCCAGCCTGCTCCACCCAGCGAAGCACACTTTGTGAGAACCAATGGCAAGGAGCCTGAGCTGCTGGAATCTATTCCCTATGAATTCATGGCATAATGGGTGAAAAAAAAAAAGTAAAAGACCAAGACCACTGTGCTGTAAAACTCTTTCTCTTAATTGAGAAGATGTGTGGTACCCCCTACCCCCAAAAAATATTGAAAGCAAATATTGTGTCCAAAAAAAAAAGAATTAAACCCAGATTAATGTGAACTTTTCAAACTCCTCTTAACATCAATATACCCCTAATGTGTTTTGCCTCTTCTCAAGTGCAGTAATGACCTTGCATTGGCCCATTACAGTGGTAAAAAAAGAATTAGATTCTCTTCTGTGAACATGATAGCATATAGAAAACCTGAAAAATCTAATATCACTTCCAAAGGAGAAAGTCTATGATTTTAGTAGAAAACAAAGAGTTAATTCTAAAGTATTAAAATAAGCTAAGCCAGATGTCTTCTAAAGATAGATATTTTAGATTCTCATAGTTCTTTATTGTTCTATGAATCTTAGTAATGTTTCTATTGTTTAATAGTAAGTCTTCAGTCCAGAGACCGAATAGGCACAGGAGGACAAGTTGTGGACTGCAGTCGTTTGTTTGATAATGATTTACCAGACGGGTAAGCAAACTTCACTAAAATCATTAGGGGAATATATAGATAATATCTTTAAAAGAATGAGAAATAAGTTCGTGTTTATTGTATATTCAACTTTAGAAATTTGCTACAGAATGTTGGTTTTCCTTCAACTTAGAAAATTAGTGAAGGATCTTGTCACAACAAATTTATAAAATAAGCCATGAATTAGATGCGTTAAATTTGGTTATTAAGAGTTTTGATTAGGAGACAAATGAAATTTCTTGACAAATATAACTCTCCTGTAAATATATTTTAGAAGAAAAATTTTACTTGATTCAATTATTCAAAACAGGACATACAAGTGTGGAATTTGAAATATTGTTCTATTTAGAGGGGTAGGATAGAGATTTGGGGTAATGATAATTATAACAACAGGGTAACATTTATTGACTATGTATGTGTCAAATACTGTTATAAGCACTTTATGTACATTATATCATTTAATTCTTATAGCATATTGGAAGGTAGTATATAGCATTTGATTCTGGAGTTAAATCACCTGGGTTCCAATGCTTACTGGCTTAATGACCTTAATTAATTTGTTTAACTTCAGTAAGCTTCAATTTATATTTATTAACAAAAGAGGATGATTGATAATAATTGAGAAGATTAAGTGAAATAATTCATCTGTAGCACTTTAGCACATAGAAGGTGCTTAATACAGAATTAGCTACTGTTATTTCTATTGCTACTACTATTGTTACCATCATTCATTTTACAGATTAAAAAAACTGAGACTCAGAGAAGTTATTGGCTTAAGGCCACATAGTAAATGGCAGAGCTGGAATATAACCCCAAATCTTGATTCTAAAGCTCATGATCTTTATCACTGCTCTCTATCTTTGTTTGATACTAGTTCTGACATTTTTCTGATTTCATTTTTGACTTTCAAAGTATTTTTAATTAACTTTAATGAGGTATGATTTACGTATAATAAATTGTATCCATTTAAAGTGTATAATTAGTTGAATTTTGACTCAGCACATGAAATTTTACATAGAAGCTATGGTATTTGCTTGTTTTGTTTAAACTGTTAAAAATTGCTATAATTACCTCTGTTTACAGGTCACTTTAGCTTCTTGATACGTCTGTTAACTTTTATGGATGTGAGGTAGATTATGGTATTTTTATAAGCAATGTAAGGCTTGTTGTAATCACAAGGGGGAAAAAAACCCTAGTGTCTCTTTATTTTCTGTTTTGTTTTGTTTTTTTTAATGCCCCCAAAGCTCTGCCAATATTTTAGTGGAAATATTAACATTACCATGTTTCTGTAGTCATTTGTCTATTTTTCCTTATATGAATTATAATTAAGAGTTAAAGGAAAAGTGGCATTCTTGATTTTTAAAAAATTAGTTTGGGTAGGCTAAATGCTTTAAAAAGCTTTTATATCCTTTTCTAGTGACATTTAAGTTTTTTAAAAAATTGTGTGATTTTTACTTTCAGATTACGTGAGTTCTAATCCTTACTCTTCTGCTTATTAGTTTTATGCCTTTAATTTTGGCTACATATATTTATAGTATAGCTATTTTTCAAGAAATTTTGGAAAAAGTATAATTTGAGTGTTGACATTATTGAAAAATTCTCAATTTGACTGACAGAAAATATTTGTCACATCTCAGTATAAATATTTTGGAAGCTTCAGAGTTCCATAAAATATATAAAATATAAAATAAGTTGAAAAAATTCTATATTCTTTGAGTTGTCTTTCAATTTGGCATTCCTGATTTGTAACAGCAGATGCCTTCCTGGCTTGGTTATTGCACTGAAAACATTTTGTGTCCCAGCTTCCTATTAGTACCTATTAGTGTCTTATCCCTCAACATTTTTATTTCAGCTGGGAAGAAAGGCGAACCGCCTCTGGAAGAATCCAGTATCTAAACCATATAACAAGAACTACACAATGGGAACGGCCAACACGGTAAGAACATACAGATATTTTCTCATGGTCTATGCTGGTTACCCTCCCAAAGTCCTTTTCTATTTATCTGTCAGCTTTAGTAGACTTTTTTCTTGGTTTTACTGCTATAGATCAGTAGATCTTATAGCAGGTGCCATTATTATTTTTAAAAAGTAATCTTCAGGGGATGGATATGCTATCTACCACAAATGAATCACTGAATAATATATGCATGTATTGGAGCAACACACTGTACTGTACAAATATGTACAGTTAAATTAAAAGAAAAAAATCTTCAACAAAGATTGCTTGAAGGTTCATCCTGTTACGTAGCTGCAGGGCCTGGGAGCAGTCATCTTATTTCTGGGAACTTTCTTTTTTTGTGTGTTTGCGTCTGTTATTAGGTGGAAGTATATATACATGGTTTTTGTTCTTTCAATTATATAAGGGGATGATTATATTATATTGTGTCGAAGTAAGTTCTGTGATCAAGATCAGCACATGTTCTGGGACCATACGAGGAGTGCCTAACAGAGTGGAGGGTGAGGAGATGGAGAAGGTAGAAGGTGGAAAGGAAAACTCTGAAGTAGAGGAATCTCTGAACTAAATCTTGAAAAATAGCCGATATAGTCCCTTTCTTAAGGAGATTAATGTATAAAGACATTGGGATCCAAGATAATTTTTGGAAACTACAAAGAGATGCTTTTTAAGTAACTGAAAACAAATAGGCTAAGTGGTCGAAGCCTCCCCATTTTTTTTAAGTAAGAACAAATTTTATTTACCGTCTCTGCTCAGTGTTTTATTTTTCCTTTTCTTCCCTTCTTTAGAAGGACTAGCACCAGACGTAGAGTATCAAATGCTTCTCATTAGCTATACCTACTTTTATTTATTGGGAATTAATTGCTTAAATTGTTGAATGACGAAGTTTTCTCTATTACATGATGATTCTCAGGTAAAAGCTTAGCTCATGTTGCCATTTTTTAAAGTGCTGACTTGAGAGTTGCATTTCTAGTATTAAACTGTGAAAGATTTTATTGAAGTTGAAGGACCAATTTTTACTATACCTGAACATAAAATGAATGTGTATACTGTTTTAGTGTTTAAGTAAAGCCCATTTCCTTCTAACTCATTTAAGGGATCAAATTAACTTTAATTTCCACATGTATAAAAAGCTTATTGTAAATGTTAGTTTAAAAATGAACTTGGGGCCGGCCCGTGGCTCACTCGGGAGAGTGCGGTGCTGATAACACCAAGGCCCCGGGTTCGGATCCCATATAGGGATGGCCGGTTTGCTCACTGGCTGAGCGTGGTGCTGACAACACCAAGTCAAGGGTTAAGATCCCCTTACCGGTCATCTTTAAAAAAAAAAAAAATGAACTTGACTATAAGCTCCTTGAAAGTGCAAACTATCTTCTTTTCTTTATTCATTCAATAAACATTTATTGAGCTACTCATATATTTATGTCAGGCACTAGGTGCTAGGAATATTTATAGTGGGTAATAAACTAGGCAGACTCCTTTCTGTCAAATATTCTAGTGGGGTAAGATTGCCAAAACAAGGGTGGAAGTGAGTAGGAAAAATATGAGAGATAATTGCTGTGCTGAGGAACTACGTTTATGTACTGTCAGATGACTGGGTGACTAGGATTGTATGATTAGGAGACCAGAAGAACCTCTTAGGAGGCAGTGTTTAAGTGTAAACTATGATTCAAATGACAAAAAAGAGCCAGGCCTATGGAAAATAGGAGAAAAGAGTATTCCATATGGAAGGAACAGGTACTGCTCTCAAGAACTAAAGGTAGCATGACCTTGGCAAGTTCAAGGAACAGGAAGAGTATCTGTGTGGAGAAGCAGAGTTGGAGGGAGAATGGTGGGAAATTAAGTCTTGAGAGGCAGGCTGTAGCTAGATCTAGTAGTGCTTTGTAAGCCAGTACTCACATCCACTAATATATGCGGATTTTATATAAAATAAAATCATAAAATCATTTAAATACATAATTGGTGATGTGTCTATCACTTGAGTTTTGTTTTTTTGGGGGGCAGCTGGCTGGTAAGGGGATTTGAACCCTTGACCTTGTAACTTGAGTTTCTTTGGTGCTTGGAGACTTCAGGCTTGCTTCTTTTACTTAGAGTTCTTGAAATCATTATATTTGTATTAGTCATTCCATTTTCTCATATGATTAGTGATTGTTACTGCAGTATATACGTTGTCTAGAGAACTCTACTTTTGATATCTAAATTGATAACTTTTTTCCTTGTTACTTTTCAATAGACCGGCGTCCGAATATTCTAGTCCTGGCAGACCTCTTAGCTGCTTTGTTGATGAAAACACTCCAATTAGTGGAACAAATGGTGCAACATGTGGACAGTCTTCAGATCCCAGACTGGCAGAGAGGAGAGTCAGGTCACAACGACATAGAAATTACATGAGCAGGACACATTTACATACTCCTCCAGACCTACCAGAAGGCTATGGTATGACAACTAGCAGAGGAAAAATAAAGAGCAGTTTACCAATTTCAGTTTGCTAAGAAAATCATAAAATCAATTTTTTAAAAAGTTATTAATCTGGTGTTAGAGGTTCTGCATGAAGATAAAAGTAAATGTAAAACAGCTTTGAAAAGTCTGTGAAGAGGTGGAAGACTGTCTAATCAGCAGTTTGACCTTGTGCTAGTCATTCACCCTCCGCTTGTGTGCTCTTTTATAATGAAACAAGATGCAGAACTGATTACAAAGGTATTGTGAGGAGCATATTAAACGATGTGAGACCACATTGTAAACAGGCACTATATAAGAGAAAGATGGTATATAATGGTAATCCGAAGTTAGATCTGCAATGTCATTTTCTAGACATACATATTTAGGAATAATTTCAAAGGTATATTTCTGATGGTATTTATATATTTTACTCATATTTGTACACATATTGTCATAATTTTGGATTATCTGAGTGATTGGATTGTTGTAACTGATTTAATCACTTCTGTGTATAAAAATGATTATAATCTTATATAATTTCCTAGAATTGTAAAATTTAGTGAGGAAGATCATATGAATCTTCTAGTTGAATATAGAACTTACTCAATTAATCACAACTTGTGAACACTTGGATACAGTATGAACTTGACTGTCCTCTCCTTGCTTGCTAAAACCAAGGTTACTTACACTCTTACCCTGTTACCACTAACTGTAGATAAACTATTTTGGGCTAGTGGTGACACCTAATGATCAACATTGGGAATTGCCTGGTCTAAATTGTATTTTATTTTTACTCTAGAATATTTTTTAAAACTGTTCTGCAAGTGCATGGGATTTTAATTTTATTTTTAAACATTTTAGCTCAGAAAAAATTTATATATTAACTGTGCTATGCCTCACAAAGTGACTTACAGCATAGTGATCAGAATATGAGCTTGGGAGACAGACACACCTAGGTTCATATCCTGGCTTTGCTGCATTAAATTGAGCACATTATTTAATCTCTCTGAATCTAAATTTTATCTTCTATAAATGGAGGAAATAATAGTACCAACTGTGCAGGTTTGTTGCAAGAAATAAATGACAAAATCTCATGTGAAGTGCCTTACACAGTATCTGGAATAGAAAGCACGTAGTAAATGTTAGCTGTTATTATCAATGTTCGGACCTTAGAATAAAGTATCTCCTGCCATTTCTTTCTAATTATAATTATAAGGCAAGTGTTTGGAGTGTGGGTGGTTACACTTTTACAATATTTGTGTGATTTGGATTAAAAAAATTTTTGTACAACCAAAACATATAGGAATAAAGTGGATACTAAGGCTGAAATTATTGTGGCTGCATCTATAGTTTATTTCAAACATTTTTATGTTTATAATTTTAGAAAATTTTGCTTAAATTTGTTGATTTTATTATAGGTTTATAAAATTAAGTTTTTGTTAATAAATATTAGCAATAGTTTTATATGTTGAAATTTCTCATTAGATTTTGTTTAAAGAAAAGAGGTTATGTTGCTTAAAAAAACAAAGCAAAACAAAACACTAAAAATACCACTGCAGAAACCCTTTTTCAGATTCTTTCTCTTGGCCCTGGGTTCCCCACTGTCTTCTCATGGGCTGTGAGTTCATTTCACCTTAGACTTTATTGTCCCCAGTGTGCACACTTGCTCTTTACTCGTCTTCTTTCTAACTTGGTTATTTTTCCATCTTTACCTGTGTATATGACTATAGATGTCTTTCCTGTATCCTATCTGTTTTGCTTCTCTTTGAGCCCAGATATAGTTGTGAGAATACACCTCTTTCAAGAAAAGAGAAAATATGGGTTTTGGTATAAAATTAGGCATAATAAAAAAGCATCATCAACCTCCAGACTCTTGGAAAGTTTCTGGAAGTTCCCTCCAAGTCTCCCCAAAGTTAGCCTCTTCCTCTGAGCCTTCTTTTGTTTTCCTCAGGCTCCACATTTAAGACAAATAAAAGATCATTTCTTCATCTTCTGTTTTGTTTAATTATTGGTATCGGGGTCATCTTGTTTTCTGTTTTCCATTGCAACATGTTCAGTGTTTGAGCCACATTGTACGTTTAGGTAGCTTTTATATAGCTAGCCTGTAACCCACGTTACCATTTATAAGATTGTTTCCAGGGGGCAGAACAAATGATTTCTAAAGCTATTTTTTGGTAATGAAACAGATTGGAAATTTGGAGATTTTTTTCCTATTATCGTATCATCCTAGTGTATATAACTGTTTTTGATTTGGACATTCTGAATATGTTTTTATTATTAGTGTTTCTTAATTTTACAGAGCAGAGGACAACGCAACAAGGCCAGGTGTATTTCTTACATACTCAGACTGGTGTGAGCACTTGGCATGATCCAAGAGTACCTAGGTAAGAACATATTTTAAGAACTCTTCATACCACAGAATATCCAATTTACCTAGGATTTCTTTGATTTAAAAAAAAAAAATCTTCAACCTCTAAAAATACCTTATGTAAAAGTTTGGTTCTTTCTAATAGTCATTTCATTTTGACATTTAGTAGAAAGTCTTATCTACTTCTCTGCAATCCCACCCCAGCCTCCCAGTTACCAGCCCCTTTCCCCTGCTACCCCTTTAAAAAAGTGGGGCAAAACATGGGTCTTTTAGGAGTTCAAAAATTGACCAGGGAAAAACATACAAAACAGACCCTTTAAAAAAGGGTAATAGATTGATATTTTTATTTCTGGTTAGACTTTTTAAAAGAAGTTTTAAAAAATTTTTTAACCTTACATAAATATATTTAATGTTATTTTATGTGTTCTGTAATATAAAGTTTTTTTTTTTTTTTGTCTGTTTGTTTTTTAAAGATGACTGGTGAGGGGATCTTAACCCTTGACTTGGTGTTGTCAGCACCACGCTCTCCCAAGAGAGCTAACCAGCCATCCCTATATAGGGATCTGAACCCATGGCCTTGGTGTTATCAGCACCGCACTCTCCCAAGTGAGCCACAGGCTGGCCCTTAAAGTTTCATTTTAATGTAGAATAGAAAACAACCTAATTCAATTTCTTTTAAATACCAGAACTTGTACATTTGCTCGCTCAGCCAGTGAGCGGGAACCGGTCTGTATGTGGGATCCGAACCCTCGGCGGGAGCGCCGCCGCACTCCCAAGCGGCGCACTGTAGCAGTGCGCCACCGGGCCGGCCCCCGAGTATGTTTTTTTTTTAAAAGCTTTATTTCCATAGCAGGAGAGTGTCTTGGCGTACCTGTAAGCAGAAGTCAAAATCATTGCTTCGACACATCTGTGGGTGCCCATATGCGCCCTTCATTGTGTTTCACTATGAACAAGAAGAGATCATTTTGGAAAAAATCCTTTTCTAGTATTAACTTTTAAAATGTGATTTTGATGAAATTTGTCATTATTTATGATTATCTGTTGCAGTTTAAATTTACATTAGACATGTTGCTTTTATTTCACTTTTTAAAAAAAAATAAAAACAGGACCACAAAAGCCAACAGTTATAATGTGTAGATGCTTGAGTTTGCTTAGTCACTTTCACAATGTTGTTTCTTTAGATTTACAGATGGCTCTGGTAGCCTAAATATTCATTTAAGGCTGGAAATGACCTTAGCATATGTACATCCTTACACGCATCCACCGTGGGGTCACTGATGGCAATGACTTCAGTCTCCCAGCATGGATAATGACAGCAACTTCAATACTTTGGATGCTTCACTCTGGGAGTTATTATTCCAAGAGTGCAGAGGATAAAAATTTGCAATTCTATTGCCAATTTGTTATAAAGGATACAATTCAGGAATGGCCAAAAGGAAGCAATACCTAGGGCAAGATATGGGGAGGAGCTTCCATGCCCTCTCTGGGCATCCCTCCCTCCAGCACCTCAATGTGTTCACCAACGTGGAAGCTCCTTATCTCATTCTTTAAGGTCCTATAAATCCTTGTCTGTATGTAATAGTATTTAAAGAATGTGTGATATAATAACAATGAAGACCATGAAAAGTCTTTTAGCTTTTTTATTGTTGCAGTAAGCCTCAAAGCATTCTCCCTGAGGTGTCTTGAACAGGTTCTTCATTCACTAACTTCACAGATTTCAAAATTCAAAATACAGCAGTCACTTCTGACACCTTTTTTTTTTTTTTAAAAATGCTGTGATTATTTTGGGGATTATAATTTCAGCACCATTTCCAGTTTTGCTTTGCTGGAGAGCTTAAAATTAATCAGGGAATGGACACTTATTTACACAAATTTTATGGTTTAGTAAAGAAAGAAATAATTGAATGGAAATTTTAGAAAACATTTAATTCCTTATATCACTGACTTGTAAGACAATATTTTCTGTCAAACAAGTATTGAAGTACAGTTTATGTTGGCAAATGTTGTGATTGCTTTTATATTAATTTAAAATCTGTATTACATTAAATTCCAAGAACTTACTAAAAATGTAAGCTATGTGATACGTCTTTCTGAGCCATTTATGGATTGTGTTTTGAATATGTGAGTTTGTTAAACCATTGGGAATTAAAGATTCCAGCTGAACATCTCAAGTTTCTGAAACAATACATTTTGTCAGACTTCATGGAATTGTTCTGTGTCATTTACACTTGCTTGGCTCAGTAGGACCAGCAATGAGGTATTTTTTATTTTATATTTGTTTTTGCAGGGATCTTAGCAACATCAATTGTGAAGAGCTTGGTCCATTGCCTCCTGGATGGGAGATTCGTAATACGGCAACAGGCAGAGTTTATTTCGTTGACCATAACAACAGAACAACACAATTTACAGATCCTCGGCTATCTGCTAACTTGCATTTAGTTTTAAAGTAAGTTTTTGAAACAAAACGTATTAAAATGCAAGTCTGAACAAGAGGAAACTGATACATGCTTTTTATAATAATGTGAAAGAATGCTCTCTTATAATTTACTTCTGTTGAGCAAAATTTTATGTAAGCGTGTGACAAGTTTTACTCTGATATATGAGTATTTTAATCCCATTATGCTTAAGTAGGAACCTCTCCTGAAATGTTAGGAAAAGATTATGCTTCAAAGGCTCTCATGCAAGAGGGCCTTTTACAGAGGAAGTAGCTTGATGGGAAAAGTAGAGGCTCATCAGGCTAATTTTGTGTTGCCATTGCAACATAGCTAATATTAATGGCTAATACTTCAGTAGCACTTTTTGTGTGCCAAGTTGTTCTTTACATAGGTTAGCAGTTCCATCCTCAGAAAAACTGAGGTAGTTACTGCCATTTTTACAAATGAGGAAACTGAGTCATAGAAGTTAGGTTACTTTCCACAGGTCACCAGGCAGTGTGTGGCCAAGTCTGAATTAAAACGCAGACACTCTGGCTTCAGTCTGCTGTTAACTACTATACCGAGCATTGTTTGTGTATTATTTCCATCCTTCCCTTTTCTTTTGTCTCTAGCTGCCTAGATTTTTCTAACTCCATTATTTCCTGGCATTGCCTTCTGTGGAAGAAAGAAGGAAACTTCATCACTAAGCAAAGTAGCAAAGTGTCTTTTTCAACAATTCTGGCAAAAACACTTTGGCAATAGTATAGCAATAAGGTTTCTGGGCTAAAAATCTGGAGAACAAAGTTCTCTGTGACCCCCAAATAATTCATTTTAGCTTCTCTAAATGAATGATATTACCTGTTCTGCCTTCTTCATTCATTTATGGTGAAGTTCTTATTAAGTATGTTAATGTTTAAAAACAAAAAATAGTATAATTCAAGATGACTTTTAAAAATATCCTTGTTTCAGGGCCAGCCCCCGTGGCTCACTTGGGAGAGCGTGGTGCTGACAATGCCAAGTTAAGATCCCCTTACTGTTCATCTTAAAAAAAAAAAAATCCTTGTTTCATTCATCTTTTTGGCGCTAGATTAAATAAAGCAAAAAAAAAAAAAAAAAAGAACTGGTTACCATCTGTTTAGGATAACAGGAGAATACATTTAAAATGTACATCCTTGGTTTCTTCTTTGAAATACATATAATTATCCTGGCAGTCTCATTATGTCAACAGAGCTTAGTTTACTGTGGATAGAAGATTCTAAAATCTTAGTTACAAATGAAGTTCACAAGTACTTGAAAACCTTACAATGTGTAGGTAGTTGAAGACATACAGAGAAGTTTAGATTGTGTCTGTGCATTAGGATCTATAGCCTACATAGCAAAAGAAGTATAGTCCATAGTCTACCCTTTGAGTAACACTGCTCTAGGGCACTTGCCTGGTGGTGGAATTGCTATGTCATAGAATATTTTTGTCTTCAACTTTAATATATGAGGGCAGCTTTTCTAGAATAGCTATACCAGTTTGTCTTTTACTAGCAGTATGTAAGTTCCTGTTACTCCAGAACCTTGCCAGTACTTGGTATTGTTGGATTTTAAAATTTTTTGCCAGTCTGATGATGTTTAATGGTACCTCATTGTGACTTTAATTTGAATTTCCCTAGTTACTACTGAGGTTGCCCATCTTTTTATAGGTTTATTGACCATTTGGATTTCCAATTTTTGTGAAGGTCCTCTTCCCGTCTCTTGACGATTACCTACTGAGCTTGAATGGCTTTTCATTCTCTATTGACCAGTTGTATCAACTTATGTAAATTGTTTATGTACTTTGCCCATTTTTCTAATGTATTCCTTAGATTTTAAAATTTGAACTATAGATGAATATTTTTAATCCATTTATAGTTTTATTTTTTCCAGTAACATCTTTAACCATGTGGACTCTACTTTTGTATATGGATTTTTTAAGTGGTTTATAGGGACATTTCATTGGGATTTGGGGAAATGAGATGTTGAAGCTCTCTACAGGAGGGCTTTTGTTTTATTTTTGTATCATAATTGTTTGTTACTTTTCTGCTTCCCCCACTAGACTTTGAATTACTTAAGAAGAGGACCCATACCCCATTTATTTTTGCTTCTTTAGTATGTAATATACCCAAGTACTTGGCAAATGTGTCACGATAATCAAGAGTCAGAGTGGCTCTTTCGAAGGCCCAGGAAAGCTGCAAGAGGTGGTTGTACTTTATTTATCTCCTGCTCTCAGGATCATCTCTTTAGGTAATAGGAGTTTGCTTTGATGTTGCCAGTGGAACATTTCAGTAGAACAGTTATAGGCCTTTTGTCTGTTGACTAAATAGTTAGTTGCATTAAATAATTGAATAAAAATTAATTTTCCAAAGGAGGGACTACTGGTGGGATGATTAGAAATGTTCATTGCCATTTCTGTTGCAGTAAATGACAGGAAGTAATTTGAAAAACACTTGACTAGTTTTATTATGATTATTAGTTTTCCAATTCTGTTACCAGTTTGCACTAATATGGTCAATATTTGCCTTATCTGGAAGTTTTATGGATATTTAAAGTAGAAAGGTTTCATTTGAAAATTTAATTTTGTATTGAAGTATTATTTTGTTCCTTTCTTCAATATCTTTGACTTGCAAGTTGTGCTGTGAAAAAGTTTAAGCATTTTTGTGTGTGTGTGTGTGTATATATATATTTATTTTTTATTTTTATTTTTTATTTTTTTAAGTGGATGGGATTTCAAAACTCTAGCTGCTAGTGTCATCAGTAAAATCTCTAACCTGATAAATTTTCCCTGGGGTTTATATTCATATTATATTAGACAAATATGTAAAAATTATTTGCAGCATTAAAATTTCTATCATAAATTTAAAGAGATAAGGGAGTTAGGTTTTACATTATATAGCTGAATAAAAACTAATTCATATGTGAAATTGAATTCATTACATTGAGGGATAAGAAACAATTGTAACCTTGAATTGCTGTTTTTAAAAAGATACTCAGGCAGTAATTTTAAAATTTAGCTGTTGATTTATTAATCCATATTTATCAGGATATGTTGAATAAAAATCTCTTTATTCCATTAATGTTTATTTTTATTTTAAAAGATTTTTAAATTTTGGGATTTTTTTAGATGGATTAAAGGAGTTTTGAATCTGAGCTGTCAAATATATTGTTACCTTTTGGGAGAGCTAATATGATTTTTATTGCTCTCTGTGGAATTTTTTTTGGAGGGGCAAAAACTGTTAATAGTACATAGGTTATTGTTATCATTAGGCTAATTCTGAATTGATGAAATTGGTCTGAATTTTAGGATACTATAACGTATGGATTATATCATTATACAACCACAAATAATTTTAGGTTACTTTGGTTTTTATCACTTTTTTTCCTGTTTCAGCACTTAGGAAATGAAAAAATTCTGATTGCAGTATAATCATATAGAGAGTGCTTATCTGAGCCAGATAAAAATAAAGTGGAGTGAATTATGTTTTAGAGAGGAACACAATATTCAAACTAAGGAGAATTGGGAATTAATTTGGGGGGAGGAAGCAATAAGAGAAGTTACCTCTTCAAAATATGTACTAGGCCTATTATATATAAAATGTCCATTTTAGGCCATCCTCTTGACTTCAGAAAATCCTTTCTTATGCAGATGCATTAATCTCCCTCAGCCTTTACCTCTTATGTGCATCCCTCCTGCAGTATTATTCACAATATTCACTACAGAACAACGCTTTTGATATTCTGAGGATTGTGCAGTTCCTGTGAGGCCTCAACAATGATAGTGTACAATGCTGTTAAACTGTTGCAAAAATATTGTCAATAGGGCTCAATAACTGTGCCAAGGAATATATTCTTTTAAGAAATTATTTTTAGTCAGTTTTTTCATTTTCCTTGCTTGAAAAGCATGTCTTACAGATGTTTTTTAACCCAATAACTGTGTTAGTAGTAATTATAATAACTGACATTTACTGTGTGTGTATCATGCTCTCGTTTTTTCATTTTCCTTGCTTGAAAAGCATGTCTTACAGATGTTTTTTAACCCAATAACTGTATTAGTAGTAATTATAATAACTGACATTTACTGTGTGTGTATCATGCTCTGACTAATTTTAGACATACTAATATGAGTATAGTAGTATTTCATTCTGGTTTTAATTTGCATTTCTCAAATGACTAATGACGTTGAATGTCTTTCATGTGGTTATTTGTCATCAATATGTCTTCCCTGGTGAAATTTTTTGTACCTCTTCCCCCTTTTTATTATATCTTTCTTTATTTTTTGGTAGCTGGCTGGTATGGGGATCCTAACTCTTGACCTTGGTGTTATCAGCCCCACACTCTACTGAGTGAGCTAACCGACCAGTCCTCCCCCTTTTAAATTGAGCTATTTAGTTTTTCTGTTGTCTAGTTTTGACAATTCTTTAGATATTTAGATATCAGATAAATGCTTTCCAAAGATTTTCTCCTCCTCCGTGACTTGTCTTTTCATTTTCTTAAGTGTCTCTTGAAGAGCAGAAATTCTTTAAAATTTTGATGACATTTGATTTATTCATTTGTCCTTTTATAGGTATGTTTTTGGTGTTTTATCTAAGGAATCATTGCCTAAGGCAGGTCATAAAAATTTTCTCCTGTGTTTAGAAGTTTTATGGCTTTAGGTTTTACACTGAGGTCTGCAATCCATCTTGAGTTAGTTTCTGTATCTGGTCTGATATATACCCCAATTTATTTTTTAAAAATAGGAGTATACAATTGTTTATGGAATACTTTTATTTGTATAATATTCTGGTGTGTGTGTGTGTGTGTGTGTGTGTGTGTAAAACACCTTTATAATGTTTATAAGAGTATTTAATATTGACTTGACATTTTCAACAAAGCTATATTTTCTCTGTTTGGTCGTATGTTTTAGGTATAAAATTTGGCCTGTTACATAAGAATCACTATATGTAAAGTGAATTTGAGTGATCTGTTGGAGAACTGAAAGTCATTTTTGTATATTTTATCATAGTTACCATTGCCCTTTACCTTTAGGTTAAAAGATTGTCCTCTTGTCTGTTGTGTGTGAAATTTTAAACTCCAACTGTTATCACTCAGCGACTGCATAGACATCAATAGTGAATTATCTAACTTTTTATTTCCTGACAGCTTATTGGAATTAACTATCATAGGGTTCTGTAAAAAAAATTCGTAGATGTAATATTTTATGCTATGAGAATTAAAATGTATCTGGTCAACTTGCCTTTTAAAAGTTGTTATTATATTTATGATGTACTTGGGAGATTATTTTCATGTGTTTGTGGTTTGAAGTTACCTTAGCACAACAATGTGAATATATTTAATACTACTGAAGTGTACACTTAAAAATGGTTAAAATGTTAAATTCGGAAAGTGCTTGTATCTCTGTGCCAGTAACTTACATGTGATCTCCCACATTCTTGTGGTCTAGACTATAGCAGGTATAGGAGAAAGGGTCCCTGCCAAGCTGCCATTTCAAACTCCTCTGTGGCTCTTGAAGAAAGACAGACTCTAGTTAACAAGCAGTGTTTGGCATATGCCAAATTTTAAAATGGTGATGGTAAACTATGTGGAGGAAAATAGAAACTGTATGTGAAAAATTTGCTCTCTCTCAGCAGCTGTATAAAGCTTTATGGATAAAATTCCATTATCCGTTTCTGTCAATTCATACGGATTATGAGAAATAAACTTTGGAGTTGCTTTATTGTTGCCAAAAATGTCAAGGCAAGCATGTCCTATTAAGGCTTGGAAAATGATATAGCTAGACTTGTTTTACAGTATGATGCTATTTTAAATATATAATTGTAATCTTTTTAATTTAAAATACTTCAATCATAAAATTTCTGTTTACTTCTAGTCGCCAGAACCAATTGAAAGACCAACAGCAACAGCAAATGGTGTCATTATGCCCTGATGACACAGAGTGTCTGACAGTCCCAAGGTACAAGCGAGACCTGGTTCAGAAACTAAAAATTTTGCGGCAAGAACTTTCCCAACAGCAGCCTCAGGCTGGCCACTGCCGCATTGAGGTTTCCAGAGAAGAGATTTTTGAGGTAAACTTAGAAGTCTTATTTTAAATTATAGAAATACTAAATTTTAGCATTTTACTTTCTCTTTTCCAAGAATTCTTTTTTGGGACTCATATCTCTTTAGAATGGGAGTATTCTCATTAATTTTTTTTTAATTGTGGGGTATAAAGGCAATAATATTGGAGAGATTTAATAGGTAAGATAAGCATTTAAATGGAACGAAAAGTGTCAGATGTTCCAATTGGATCAGTTTGGTCTCTGCATTGCAAATACTTATTTGTTAATGAATTTTAAAACACCACAAATATTATCCATCCCTTACTTTCCACTTCTTCTGAAAGGTATGGGACTCTTAAATTTAAAAAAAAGATTTCTAAATTACTATTGAACTATTTCCTTAATTTATTGAAAATCTTCCTTTGTGATATATACTTTTATCTTTTCATTATAGCCCTAATACCAGTTTCAAAGTTCTTGCATAATAGGTGGCAGAAGTCAAAGGCATGGGGTTCCCACTCATTAGAAGATTCCTGGACAGGAGACGGGGGGCCTGGTAATCCTTTTGTGAAAGGATGAACATTCTTCTCACAAAATAGTTCTGACCTTTTTTGTGGTCAGTCATTTGTATTTTAAGGTGATATGAAATTGTGTAATGAAGATCACATTAGTAATTTTGTTCTTTTGAAACTTTGTTTTCCTTGCATTTGCTTTCTAGTGGTGCCTATAACCTGGAATTTTGTTAACCAATTTTAAAAAATTTAGTTGTTCAGGGCTGGCCCAGTGGCGCACTGCTACAGTGCGCCGCTTGGGAGCGTGGTGGCGCTCCCGCCGAGGGTTTGGATCCCACATACAGACCGGTTCCCACTCACTGGCTGAGCGAGGTGTGGGAGCAACACCGAGGGCTGCGATCCCGTTGCCGGTCCCAGTCCGGTACGGGCGCGACACTGAGGGTTGCGATCCGTTGCCGGACATGGAAAAAAAAAAAAAAAAAAAAATTTGTTCTACCAAATTCTTTTGGGGGGGGGAGGGGGGGGAGAGGGTTGGCCAGTACAGGGACCCAAATCCTTGACCTTGTTGTTATAATACCACGTTTTAAACAAGTGAGCTAACTGGCCAGCCCTCTTCTACCAAGTTCTGTTTTCAATGTGAGTGGAACTATTGCTATGGTTCATAGAACTAAAATATTTAATATTGCACCTGGTAGGCATTTAATATAATGTTTATCAATTGAATTAGTTTCAATAGGAATAAGCTATATCCATTTTGTTCCTAAAATTCCATGAAGTTTAAAACGTTTGGAATTCATCCATTGACTCGATTATTGAAAAAATTTCATCTTATTTAAATAAACTTATGTTTTATGGGAGGGAGAGTTTAAATAATAGCTTAAAAGTACCTAATAATAATAATATACTTAAAATTTCTTTCAGGAATCATATCGACAGGTCATGAAAATGAGACCAAAAGATCTCTGGAAGCGATTAATGATAAAATTTCGTGGAGAAGAAGGCCTTGATTATGGAGGGGTTGCAAGGTAAAGACTTGCTTATTAGTTAATAGCAATGGGTTTTTATACTAACAAATTTCATATACTTCCTGTGACATAACTTTCTCATTGACATTTATTTTCTAGTATAATATTCCCTGATGTCTGCAATACAGAGGGTATCTTAATAGATTTATTCATAATGAGGTTAGGATAGTACTGCCACCAGAAGAGTATTTTAGAACTCTGCAGTGGATCATATAGCCCAATGAGACTTTCTCTGAAAACTAGCCATAGCATTTCATGGATTGTTGGTAGGACTTGCAGGCCCTGTGTTTTCTTCATCTCTCTCCTTCAGCACATTATTTCCTCTGCTTTCTGCCATCAGGAAAAATCTTTAGACTTTAATGACGTTATCTAAAGTAAATACTGTTTCCCTTTGCATTCATTGCCATGCTTTTTACCTTGTTAAATGAGTATATGTGTGTGTGTGCATGCACATGTGTGTATGCACATGTATGTATCATAATCGTCCCCAGAATGTTTCAGTACAGTCATACATTCCCACATCGTTAAATTGATTTATTTCTGATAGTATACATACTGTCAGAATTTTTTTTCCAGGTGTGAAAATTCACTTTATGTAAACGTAGGAGAAACATTACAGCTTTGTATTGAAATATTCTAAGGATCATCATGATAATTATTCTTCCCCTAATGTTAATCTGACCTAAATTAAATTGTGTTTCCACTAAGTCCCATAATTGTTGTTTGGCATCAACTTGTGTGTTCATCTGTAGACTTGTTTTCATTGTTACCTTTTTATGCAAATGGATGTTTCTTTAGTTTGAATTTTTAAAAATGATCTCTTGCACATCATACTTAGGGCTTGATAGTTTCTGTGGAATTCTTATTATTTACTCATAACTAGATTTTGAATGTTTGTTGGGAAACTTACCTGCTGATGGCATCTAAGTACTCTAATTATATGTATAGATCAAATAAGTAGTTAGTTTTTTTTATTTTTTAACCCTACTGCTATCAGTGTTTGGACAAAATAAATAGAATATGGCAGTGAACTGCTTTTTCTGAACTTTATTCCATAGTAGAACCCCCAAATAGTTGAGTTGTACTCTTATGTGTATTCTTAAATACTTGGTGAAACAAAACAAAAATTTGGATTTTCTTTTTAAAAATCACACATACAATGGGCTGGCTCAGTTGAGTTAGCTCAGTTGGTTAGAGTGTGGTGCTGATATCACCAAGGTATAGGATTCAATCCCTGTAATGGTCAACTGCCAAAAAAACCCAAACAAACAAAAACCACACATGAAAAACATGTAAGACATGTGAGATGAATGTTATGTGTGTTGGGAAGGCTGCTTATGGAGAACTCACTTCCTTTTTTTAATCTCTAGAGTAGTTTTTTTAAGTGTTACATAATGGTAGTAATTTGATTTAGACTCTATCACATTATAGAATTTTGAAACTTTTATTTAACTAGTTGTTAATTCCATTGCATTTGCTGAAAATATCTTATTCAGTCTAATTTGTAATATGAAAACACATCATTTAAATAACACTCCTTAGCTGAGGAATGACAAAAATTGAGACTAAAACTGCATCTTTTAAGTCCTAGACTAATGATTTTATTTCAGTTTCACCAGGATAAGTAACAAGTTATCTTTTATACTTTGAAAAATATAAAGGATTTAATAAGTTTGAGGTAATAGTACTTTTATTAGGAGGTCTTTAAAACACTGATTTGACCCTTGAAATCAAGAAGTGCTGCAGAGCACACTTGAAGAGTGCAGGCTCGCACTTGTGTCCCTCTGTGCCAGGTGCCTCTGACCACTTACATTTTCTTCATGGTATGTTTGAGGGTTAATACATTAAAAGGGGATAAATGGATAATAAAATTTCTTTACTAAAACAGTACCATCAACAAAACACACCCTTGTCCAAAAGTAAGAGTAAATTAATGCTATATTACATAATCTTTATAAACTAGTATAAATCTGCTGTGATAGTGGACCAGAATATTCTAGATCACTTTGACGTTTTGAAGTAAACCCGTATTCTCTCCAAGGTCACGGGTTTGGATCCCTGCACCAGTCAGCTGCCAAAACCCCCCCCCCCCAAAAAATTTTAAAAACCCATATTCTTCCCTTCATTTTGTATTTAGAATGGATTACTAATTTATTTGGCAATTAAAAGTAGCAGACCACTGGGCTGCAGCATCTCATGAGTGGTATAATACTTGTACTCTCTGATGCTAAAATGTAATAAAATTGCCCAAAATTGAGTGATAAGTGAATTCAATGTAATAAAAAAAAGTTGGTTTTTTAAAAAAATATTTTCTTTCTTTCTTTCTTTTTTGGTGCTGTCCGGTATGGGGATCTGAACTTTTGATCTTGGGATTGTAACACTGTGCTCTAACCATTAAAAAAAAATTTTTTTTTTCTTTCAAAAAGTTTTTATTTGCTGTTTGGGCATGGTAGATTTTTTCCAGTGTGATCTTATATACTACAGTTAATGCTTCATTTCCTTTTATTAATTAAAACATTCTTTGCTAAAGTGATTAAATGATAGCATATCTTAATAAAAATGTGTTCATTAACAAAAAATTCCTTTGTCATACCTTGTTTTCTAGGGAATGGTTGTATCTTTTGTCACATGAAATGTTGAATCCATACTATGGCCTCTTCCAGTATTCAAGAGATGATATCTATACATTGCAGATCAATCCTGATTCTGCAGTTAATCCGGTATGATTTGTAATTACGATGATATGAATTAAATTGTGATGTATAATGCTCTTTGTCTTTAAATGTCCATATGGTTCATTACATAGGAATTACTTGCTCTTATCTTAGTCATAGCCTCTGAGTCAGCAATTCCTCTTCCAGAAAATTTTCTCAATCGAATGATTATGGATATGTGCAATAATTTGGGCACAGAGATATTCATTGTTCAATGGTTAAGATCTTAGATTCTGGAATTAGAAAGACATGGGATCATAGCCTGGTCTCATCACTTAGTAGCTTTGCGACCTTGGGCAAGTTCACTGACATAAACCTCAATTTTATCATTGCTATTTATTTTATTTTATTTTATTTTATTTATAAAGATGACCGGTAAGGGGATCTCAACCCTTGACTCGGTGTTGTCAGCACCACGCTCTCCCAAGTGAGCTAACCGGCCATCCCTATATAGGGATCCAAACCCGTGGCCTTGGTGCTATCAGCACTGCACTCTCCCAAGTGAGCCACGGGCCGGCCCTTATCATTGCTATTAATAATAAATATATTTTGTAATCTCAGAAAGGAGTTGTGTGAATTAAATGGACCTGCACATTATGCATTTAACATGGTGCTATACATTATTAACCCTATTATACATTATTAAGCACTCAGTGTAAGTTAGCAGTTATTGTTAACTTATTGTTTTTCTATTTTATTATCTTTCCATACAAGGGCATGCTATACAGCCACTAAAATGATAATGTAGGATAATACTTAATGATATGTAAAGATGGTGTTTGTGATATGTTAAGTGAAAAGAAGGTTACAAAATAGAGTGATACAACTTTGGTAAATATGAATATATTTAAACATTGAAAGGCTCTACACTCTAATGATGATGGTTTTTTCTAGGTATTATATAATGGGTGATTTCTGTCTTTTTTGCTTATCTGTATTTTATCTAAATATTTTGTAGTAAACATGTATTTTAAAAAAGAAAAACTTTTTAAGATTAAGATTAAAGGAAGGCTTAAAAATGAGCTTAAATATTACTTATTAAATAGAGAAGTAAAAGAATTTTAAAATACAAATATCCAAGTAACAAAACAATCTATGATGAAAGACCACACATATCCAAAGATGATATAAAAGTTAGATTCATTGCAGGGAATTCTTTATTAAGGGAAGATTTTTAGGTGAAAGCTCTTCGTGGGGAGCCTACTACCCCCACTGTTAGTAATAACAGCTCACATTTGTTGAGTGCTTACCATATGCCAGGCCTGGTGCCATGGGTTTCATCACCTCATTTACTCCTCACAGAGAGACTCCTTTTATGTACTATTATTAACCTCATATTTCCAGATGTGGACAATTAGTCCTACAGGAGTTAATTAATTTACTCAGGTATGCATGGCCAGTAACTGGTGTAATCACCCCCACAATACAAATCTGACACCAAATCTATGTTGTTTTTTGTTTTGCCTTTTTTGGCAGCTGGCCAGTATGGAGATCCAAACCCTTGACCTTGGTGTTATAACACTGCGCACCAACCAATTGAATAACTGGCCAGCCCCAAATCTATTTTGAAGTTTAATTTTTGGTTAGGTCAAGAAAGTAGGGAGATTTAGGGTTGAAAGCTTTTTTTCCATGACAAAAGTGCAGGAGGTGAGAGGAGAGGAAAAGAACTGGATCTGCAAGTGGTTTAATGAAACTACGGTGGGACTGTAGTTTGGACTTAATTTCTGAAAGATAAATTTTACAAAATGATTATATCCTTTGAGAGAGGCATTGACTCTGTAATATGTGAGGTAGAGAATCTTGAGCACACCCTAAAGAAATACTCCCTAATGATTATTGAGCTTTGATATGATCTATTCCATTTAAATAGTTATAGAGTACAAATTTGATGCTTATCAAAATAATAATGTTGCTTAAATATTTAATTTTTATTAAAAATTCTCTGGATATTTTCTAACTTGAGTTTTTATGTACATTCTTTTCAATTTCAGGAACATTTATCATATTTCCACTTTGTTGGACGAATAATGGGAATGGCAGTGTTTCATGGACATTATATTGATGGTGGATTCACGCTGCCTTTTTATAAACAGTTGCTCGGAAAATCAATTACTTTGGATGATATGGAGTTAGTTGATCCTGACCTTCATAACAGTTTAGTGTGGATACTGTATGTATTGAGTCTTATATCTATTCATTATAGTTAGAATCTGAGCTTCAAAAAAAATACGTTTCAAAACTGATGTGCTTTTTTTAAAATTTAAAAAGCTATGCACAGAAAATATTGAGTGGTTATCTGAGTGACAGGACTACATAAGACTTTTTCCCTTTTTACTGCTTCTCTGTACATTACAAATGTAAAATTAGAGAGTATTATTACTTTAAAAAGGAAGAAACCTGGTGTATTCTATTTTTAAAAGTACTGTATATAATGATTTCCTCAACAAGATGCAAGTTTTTTTTCAATCTTGAATGTGTTAGAATAGCAAATTCCAGCTGCCATTGCTTTTAATGAAGTGGTGATTGTTCAAATCATACTTTTAAAGTAAGACTAATTCTGTTTAAGGTAAGAACTAATTCTGTTTTGTAAGAGGCTGTTTGTTTATGAAGAGACACTGGCCATATTTATTTTTACAAAATATGCAAGTGGCTTTCTCACTGGGGATACTCAGACATTTCGTTTCTAGAGAGTACCCAGATTCTGCAGGGCCTCTCATCTGAATGCCAAACATAACTGACATTTCCCTCTATTGGTGGTTCTAGCTAAGCCCAGCTTTGACCAGGGCTCTTTCTCGTTACTCAAGAAGTGAAATGTTTCCTGTGTTTATGGAGGTTATAAAGCTCTTTGGCTTTGCTACCCAAGAACTAGGTGATATGTTAGCATAAGAACTAGTAAGAAGAATCTGACCTTACATGTATCATATTATAAAACTATCTTAGTTTTATTTCTCACCAATTAATAGGATATGTACTTTAGATTTCCAAGTTCCATATCTTTCCCTCTCTTTCCTATCTAGTGAGAACGATATTACAGGTGTTTTGGACCATACCTTCTGTGTTGAACATAATGCATATGGTGAAATTATTCAGCATGAACTTAAACCAAATGGCAAAAGTATCCCTGTTACTGAAGAAAATAAAAAAGAATATGTCAGGTAAACATTTCTGTGTCCTCAAGGATGAGAATTTTTTTAATGTTCTAGAATGACAATATGGAAAACCATTTAAGTATTTAGGTAGAATTCTTTATTGCTACAAAATAGGCTTTTGCAGAATTTAGCAGCTTAAAAACAACCACCATTTTATTATTTCTCACTATTCCAAGGGTCAGTAATTTGGGCAGTGAACAGCTGGGATGGCACACTGCTATTCCACGAGGTGTCAGCTAGGAACAAAATGCCAGGATAGCCTCTTCACTCATGTATGTGATGCCTCGGCAAAGACGGCTCAAGTGGTGAGGGCTGCTTGGAATGGCTCTTGATTGGGGTCACTGTATGGGGCTTACTTCTCACTGTTGGCTGGGTTCTTTGGTTCTCCCCATGTGGTATCAAAGGTCTTTTCCTTTCCCTGCGGCCTTTCCCTTCTTCCCAGCAAGATAGCCACACTTTTTATGGGTTGGCTGACTTTTCAGAGCACAAAAGCAGAAGCTGCCAGATCTTTGTAAGGCCTAAGCCTGGTGCTGGCCAGCATGACTTGTGCTGTATTCTATTTGTTAAAGCGAGTCAGCCAGCACAGGTTCAGTGTGGAGGAGAGGCTATACAAAGATGAGAATGCCAGGAGACACGGGGCATTGGGGCCATGTGTGGTAGCTACCACAGGTAGCAATTGAGAAGTGCTTTTGTGCTGAATTACTACCACTTAGCTTGTTTATAAAAGAGCACATTGTGAGTGTAAGGGATAAATACAAGGAGATGTTCTTCAAGTTTTATAAAATAAAAATTGAGGAATTTTTGAAGTATTGGGTTAGTTTGGCCTGTGGTAACTAAAGTCTTCTAAACATAAAACTATGAGAGGGGGCTGGTTAGCTCAGGTGGTCAGAGCGTGGTGGTGTAACACCGAGATCAAGGGTTCAGATCCCCATAGCAGCTCCATTTTTAGGAATTTTCTACAGAAACACAGGTGTAATTAAAGAAATATAAATAAGGATGTTCAATTAAATATTACTTGTAAAAAATTTAAAGTACTGAAATGTTTTTAGAGGAAAACGATTAAATACATACATTCAACAGAATATTATGTGGATTTTTTTTAAAAAGACTGCTTAAACTGTCAAATTTAAAAAGTGAGTCTTAGAAGAATTATAAGGGAACAAATTCTGTGGTGGTGTTTTGTGATTATACAGAAGACGGTCTAGAAGGCTACATACCAAATAAAGTACATGCCTAATGTGACGGAGCAGAGGTGGTAGCCTGGGAATAGGGAGGGAAAGAGGGTAAAAGAATGGACTTTCAGGTTTTACTCTGTCTTCACAGTTAATGTTTGATTTTTCTTTATATATGTAACCACCACATATTACATTTTTAATTAAAAAGTAAATAAATGAGTGGGAATTTTCTGAGTCTTAGCAATGTGTCACTTTCAGGATCTAGTGTGTTCTACTCAGTTCCTAGATCCCAGTCTCCAGGGTTCAGTCTATGTTTATAGCGTACAGTAACAATCCCTTGCCAACTGTAGGTGTGAGATAAAAAATCTTTTACAGTTGTGCTGTTTTGCTGTACCCATAAGCCAACAAACAAAAGTGAGGTCCTCCAAAGGATATAGCGTTAAGTAACTTATTTCTTAAGGTAGAAAACTATTTCACCGGATTTGGAAAAGGAAATGTTGATAAATTTGACAGATGAGTAATTCCGAGATGAGTGAGATGGAGAGGTTTTCCTGGGTAGAGAGAGAAATAAAAGCAATCCAATTATAAATAAGTTCTGATAAAAAACATAAGTAAAGTTATGCAGTAGATATAATATAGTGTAATTTATTTTTTGGTAAAATTATGTCTTCCAGAGTTTTTATAGCCTTCAGGGAACAATGGGTATTTAATCAAAAAGTGCTTATTATTGTTGCTTTTACTATTTCTTCTCATTTTGAATATGAGGATATTCAAAATATTCTGCCTCCTCTTCTCCCATAGACCTTCTCCAAGTGTAAACAAAACACCCAGAACATTCAGATTATATTTTCAAGTAAAACTAGAAAAACAGTAATTTTTGAGTAAGTGCGCTCTTTATTCTGGTTATTGGCATTACGTTATAATGGATTTTTAGCTTCAGACCCATCTGAGGTCCAGTAGACTTCCAGTTTACTAGGAGTTTCTCTGATTTGAAGATTTGCTTTATTGATGCTGCTTTTGTTAGCCACTTTTTATCTACATAGAACTGCCTCACAGTTCAGAATCCATTCATCATCAGTGTGAGGTTTTTTTAGATTCAATTCTTAATGCTAGAAGCTCATAAAGTGCAATGTTGCTAAAGTAGGGATTCATAATAATTACCAAATCTGAATATACAATCATATGAAACCTCTGTCCAATGTTTACAGACTCTATGTGAACTGGAGATTTTTACGAGGTATTGAGGCTCAATTCCTGGCTCTGCAGAAAGGATTTAATGAAGTAATTCCACAGCATCTGCTGAAGACATTTGATGAAAAGGAGTTAGAGGTCAGTGCATTAATGTTATGATGTCATCTAATGTAACAAGGAAAGATCGAGAATTATTTTGTTGCTTAGTTTTAGAGAAAAGTTATGTTTCTGGTGCTTTCGAAGTTTTATGGTTCAATGCCCTGAGAATTCTCATTTACAGGAAAAGCCTTTCATGCTTTGGAATTTCTATAAGTAAGCAATCTCTCCTATTTATGAACATTTAAAAATTTTTTTTCCATGTTGTCCTCTCTTGTTTTAAACAGATTTCATGTCTTATATATACATTCTTTCAGTGTTTTTTTTCTATTCCCTCATTAAGCGGTTATTGATTTAGTTAAATAAAACCTCACTAATTGGTGTCTACCATATTGAAATTTATTTAGATAAAGGCCTGGGTTTACACTAAATTTTGCAAGAAATCATTTGGTAGACAAGATCATAGAGGAAATATTTAAAATACTTAGGATAAGCTGTATCTAAACATCCTTAGACTCTTTGGAAGCATTCGTATCCTAACAATAGTGGTATTAAACAAGAAACAGTTTTTTGTTTCCTTTTAAAGCTCAAGGCACCTCAGGTCTGGTTTTTATAATTAAGACGTTTAACAAAATACATCTGAATTTTCTACTGAACTACTTTGAAAAAATAATGACATTTTATTCTACCAGTTTCCAAAATTATTTACTGGATAGGGATAGCATAAATATTTGAAGTCTAAAAATAATTTAAAACATGATTTTATTCATTAACTTCAACGTCCTTCCAACTAAATCTGTAACAGACCTATTAGCAAACAAGTCTAAAAAGATCGATTTGACTCATTACTATCCCCATTCCTTTTGGATTGAATTATTCATAGCGAAATGGCCAGAGGGAAGTAGTCAGGAGGCAGAGGAAAACAGCAGGAATGGCAGTACAGTTGAAATGTAATGCATTTTCATCTGTTTATGCAATGAATAAGGCATTTGGCCTTGTAATTGCCACTTCTCTGAAGAAAAGACTTTAGGAGGTATCTTTTGTGTTATAAATACATCCATAATCCTATTGGGTAACCTCTTCCCTGTTCAGTGTGTCTTTGACTGAGTGTCTTTTCAGAACCCTGTAGAAGCTTCGTTGGAGATTTTATTCAGTAGGGTCAGGATTTATTATATAGTTTCTACTGCTAAGGAAATCATTAAACTTTTTAGAAAAAAAAGTATATCATTTATTTTAGTGTTTAACTGGATTAACAGAATTATATAAAATCTAGGATTTGCAAGTTACATTTTGTTTTTTACTACACACTGTCATACTTCACTGTTATAAATGTGTTAGGTTAGCAAAATGAGTTCGTCTTGGACCCCAAGGAGAAGTATCAAAATGATTTTGATATAGTTCATCTATACTGACACTGCATCACGATGTCAAGCAGAGCTCTCTATCAGTGTATGCATGTATTTTGTGCTTTAATATAATTTTAACATTTTTAAGCATATTGTATTAATCCCTTTTTAACACATTTCTTGAGTTGCTATGCACTACTGGTTTTTTTTCATAGGATGTAGTGAAATAGATGCTACTGTCATATTTTGGCAGAGGACACTGCTGGCCCAGGGAAGTGATCTGAATTGCCCCAAACCACAAAGCTAGTAAGTGTTGTAGCCAGTAAAATATGATGCAGGTCTAAGGAAGGCACATATAAATTGTATTTACTCTTTGGGTCTCAGTTTCTGTCCATTAAAAAAATTTTTTTAGAATTCTCTTATGAAATTGTGGAACTTTCAAAATTCTTTTATCTTGTCAAGTCCATCACAGTCGTTCTCAGACCCTGGGAAGCGAACATGCAGTGAGTAGATACTTCTAGATTTTAAAAATACAGATCTTGACTGTCACCCCAGATGTGCAGAATTAAAATCTCAGCATAGGACCTGGTGTGTATATTTTGAAAAGCTTTCCAAATGAATCTGATGTGCACCTTTGATTAAGAACCCCCAGAGGAGAACCAACACTGAAAATCTAAGGTTCTATTTTGAGAAATTTGGGGCATGGCTTTGATTTCCACTGGCGCATAACTTGTGCAATATTTTGACAGCTCATTATTTGTGGACTTGGCAAGATAGATGTTAGTGACTGGAAGGTAAATACCCGGTTAAAACACTGTACACCAGACAGCAATGTTGTCAAGTGGTTCTGGAAAGCTGTGGAGTTTTTTGATGAAGAGCGCCGTGCACGATTACTTCAGTTTGTGACGGGATCTTCTAGAGTGCCTCTGCAGGGCTTCAAAGCATTACAAGGTAAAAGCCTGAGTGGCAGATGGCAATGTGGCATCAGACTGTCCTGGGCGGGGATAGGGAAGGGGAAGTCAGTGTTGGGTTTATATAGATATTTCACAAACCATGTGCTTATAAACAGATGCTCATTTCACTCTATTTTTTTATGATCTGTAATTTTTCACCTAGTGATGCCTCCTTCTCCTTCCTTTCTCTTGTTCCCCTCCCAAGAGCCTTTTCTGCGGGGGTTCTCTGTCATTGTAGTGAGTGAGTGCCGCACGGTGGAGACCCTATGTAGTAATGGCTCTGCCTTTCATTTTCTGGTCATCTTGCTTTTATTTCTGTTCCACATTCCCACAGGAGAAGTCCACTTCCATATTCACATCTCAGCCTGGCAAGCCATTTCCCAACCTGGGGTGCCTCTCTCCCCTACTTTTTATTTTTTCTTTTGATAGAGGCAGCATGAGTCACAGAGCCCATCTGTTTGGTCAGAGCACTTTAATTATTGCATGGCATTGGACCATTTATTTACAACCATTTTCCATTTTTAAGAATTGTTTTCTGTGGAATAAGCTGTCTAATTTGGGGATGAGTTGGTAACATTGCTGATGATTACGGTGCTTCACTGGGGGGGTGGTTGCTCTTCAACTCTTAAGCCCTTCATTTTCAAAGCTGCTGGTGGTGAATGAGGATGTACCAGGCAAGACTGGTCCATAATTCAGGAGTGCTGCCTACAGTGCTTACGCTGCAGGTCCACGAGGAAAGCCTCCTTTGAGCTGTGCTCACCTTCCCTGTTGAGAGACTGCCCCGATGCATAAAGTGAAGTCGTATTGCTCCTACATCTACTTGTAGGGGGTGTCTGTGTTAACTGAAATTTATTCTGTACACTGCTGGTCTTTTGCTGTCAGCCAAGTTTGAGTCATGAAATCTAAATTTTCATTAGGTTGTCATCTTTTTGAATGTGCATGTATTTTATCTTGGACTTGCCCAGTTGCTTTTCTTCTTATTCTTTTGCGATATTGATGTTCTCTAAAAGATAGGAGTTGGCAGAGGGATTTCAATCCTGAGTTTTTTCTCAAATTGAAATGCTAGTTTAGTAATCCAGCCTTATCCAAGGTAAATTCCAGCATTCAAAACTCAGATTATCTTCCTGCTGCCCTTTGGTGGTCTGTGTGGATTTGCTGGCATTTCCCGATCCCCAGACCCTGTGGTTTATGTTGGAGACTGATACATGCACCTGCAGGGATCTGACCCACCTTTCCCGCATCTGCAGGTGCTGCGGGCCCTCGACTCTTCACCATACACCAGATCGATGCCTGCACTGACAACCTGCCAAAAGCCCACACTTGGTAAATTACGTTTGTAGCTTTCTCATCAATCTGTGTACGTAGGTGCTAGTTCCAAACAGATTTGACTTTTCATTTATTGTTCATACTACTGAGGATCTTTAGAAGGAATGTTAAACAGCTCTTTTAAGTGATTTAAAAGTTAAGTTATTCAGAAATTGGTTTGAAAACCCCACAGTGGTAATCTCTACTTTAGAGAAATGCAACCTTTTTATATTCTACGTGACACAGACAGTGATGTGGCTATGTTAATATACACTTGCTAGGCCAGTTTACTTATTTTGAATAACTATGTAAAATCTGATTTGCTTATTCACAGCTTCAATCGAATAGACATTCCGCCCTATGAAAGCTATGAAAAGCTATATGAAAAGCTGCTAACAGCCATCGAAGAAACATGTGGGTTTGCTGTGGAATGACTTCAAGGATTTACCCAGGACTCTATTTATACCCCTGACCGACAGCCTCCTTTCAGCAGTTTCAGAGAATGCTGAAATACAGGAAACCCCGCCCCCTTAAAAAAAAAAATTTTAGGACACTGTGAGGGGAAAGGACAATTTCAAAATTCCTTTTCAAGGAAAAAAGGTCTTTATGCTTTGCCATGAGGCCACATTCAGCTGCTATTTAAAATTAATATCTTGAACCTAAAGAATGCTGACTTTTCCTACATTTCCAGAGTTAGGCAGTATTCTACACTTAAAGACTACTACTATTTTTATAAACGGTAATCTATTCAAATTGCTTCACAGATTTCAAGTCTCTCAAACATCAAGCAACTTCAGCAGTCGGTACAAGTCACATTTCATTTTGATTGAATACATGATTTTGAACAGCTCCTGTACTTGCTCTTTGTAAAAAAAATAAAATAAAATTATTTTGAATTATTCAAGCTTTGTAAACAATTGGCTAAAAGAATCATTGTCTTTAAGAAATTAAGCCATTTACATATTATGTTTTTCTGTAACAGAGCATTATATTTTGCATTATATATTTCAATCTAAGTGGGTCTATTTTATATTTTTTCAAGCATGAATTTCCTGGAATACAGCTATATAATTTTGGTTGTCAAAGTCCTAATGCAGCCATTTACTCTAAACTTGGTAGATTATTTGCTACAATAAGATGTGTTCAGGGGCTCCCTGTTTTTAAGAGACTTTTTAAAAAACCTGATCTTTTTATCTTGAATCAATATGATCAAGTATTTTGGATTTACTTTTTATTGTGAATCAAAATACTGCATTTTTATAGCTTCTCCGAGCACGTGGATGGGATGGTATTTTTCATTCTTTTGCTGGGTCAGTTTATCTGTAATATATATACTATTCCTGTAAACCAAAGTCTCTGACAAGTGCACCTAATTTATATTATATTTTAATAACTATAAGTTTCTATCAAGTAAACCATCCTGAAGCTTTGTTTAGCTGCTCATAATTTTAGTCAGCTAAAATTATGAAAAAGGAACAGTTTTGCTCTAAAGATTATTTAGCAAGCTTAGAAAAACCCTGCTTTTACTGAACAGGATGAAGTGGGGGTAGTACTGGCGCTGGTGCATAGGGATGTGATTACTAAAGAAACGGTGATTCCAACTCTTATAGTATAAATTACTTCAAAACTGAAGAGTTAATTTTGGAAGTAAGGGAATTTCAGTTCCCTCAGTGTTAAAGATCCGCATCTGATTTTGAAATGTCCGCATTGAGCTTTCAAGGTGTGTGGCATGTTGCACGATTCAGAAGGCAACCAAAACTCGGGGTAAGGGACTGGAAAAATCTGATGTTAACCATTCAAAATATGCACTATTCTTTTTTTTTTTTTTTTTTTTTACATTGATGTGAAATAATAAGAATAGCATATTTTGATGAGATAACTTTTAAATTTTGCAGCTTAATTATAAAGTGAATAGGTCCTTTGTGTTCTGTTTCTTGTGATGGAGTGAGTTTCAGTCTGTTCTTGGAGCCAAGGGCTCCTCGGAGGTGCCTCAGGAATAATGATTTAGGAGAAGTTTAGCGAGAGAGGGAGGGGAAAGGCCTGACTGGTGACTGAGGAGAGAGGCCTCTGACTCCCCATCCCCATCCCCACCCCTCTTTACTCAGAGCAGCTCTAAGTTTTCTCTTCTATTTTATATATTGGATTCCAAGTAAGCTTTCACGAGGTGTGCAGGGGAGCGGGGCACGGTGGGAGAAAAGAAGTGGAGACTTGCTGCTTAAAAAAGGTTGAGAACTACTTGTGTAGTTTCTAAGTATTTTAATGGATTTCATTTGGCCAAATTTGCTGCAGATAAGCTAGTCATAGTTATAACTGTGCAGTGATAATGTGCTTATGCTGACCTTTTTCTTCCAAACACTTTGTGTTTTTCCTACTGCATTCTTAGTAGTACTGAAGAACGTCTTCAGATGTACAGAAATGGTTTCTTTGGTATTTGATTCACAGTAATTTTCAGCTTTCACGATAGTACTTTATTGGTTGTAGGTCCAGCTCTTTTTTATATTAAAGCACTAGTGCAGTTTATAATTGTGCCTACTCTTAAAATCTTTTAGTAAAAAGTAAGGACATGATGAACACTTCGTAGAAATCATAACTGACCAGGGATGCAGTAATAATGAAATACTGTTATCAGTTTTAATGTACAATATAAAGCAGACGAATGCCATCGCTTTTTGAGTGCCTTTTTAACTTTATAATAATCACTTAATAGAGCTTTAAAGAAAGAAATTACCCCCCATAAGAGTCTGTGGTGTCACCAACATGATATATGAAAACATGATTTAGATTTGTTTCAAAATTACATTACCTGATCACTTCCAAATAGGTGCTATACAAACAAAAACCCCCAATGTGTCATTGAACCTGGGACTTGCACCTCATGTTTAATGTGAATATTTATTTCCACATGTCCCTCTTAACTGAGTTTTGTTTAATCCTTCTTCTAGTTGTGTTATTTCAGATATATGAGTCAACTTTCCATACTAATGCCTTTCCATCATGAATGCTTAATTATGAACAGTGATTACTTTGTAGAGCTCATATACAGTACAAGAGGTGAGTATTGTCTCACAGGGCCTTATTTCTTGGTGTAAAGAGTTTTTAAATAGTGCTGTGTATAGTGTACATTTTCTTTTGCACATAGTTTGTTGCCCTGAATGGGTTTATTTTTACCAAGTCTTTTTTTGTTCTTTCTTGTATTTACAGTCCAGAGCACAAGTTTCTCTTCTTTTAAATACAATGTAATCTGCTTTATTTTACAACACTAAATCTGCTTTGAACTTCCAGTGCATTGGACTGATTGTATTGGTGAGAGTTAGAGATTGTTCCAGCCGTCTTTACAGTTCGGGAGAGCAGCTTCTTTATTTTACAACACTAAATCTGCTTTGAACTTCCAGTGCATTGGACTGATTGTATTGGTGGGAGTTAGAGATTGTTCCAGCCGTCTTTACAGTTCGGGAGAGCAGCTTCTTCTGCTTCTGTCTTTAAGCTGCAGCACACAGTCAACGGATGCCATTTGTGGTATTTAACATTCTTATGTTAGGATGATGATTGTACCAAATCCTGAGTTGTTTTATTTCTAGATGTAATTAGTTCACTTTATGTAATATTCTTCCTTCTCTCAAACTGACTTTAAAAACAAAGTTTTATCATTTTCATTGTATTTGTATTTATTACAGAGTGTTTTAGCTTTGATATTCTTTGTATTTTCACTCAGTTGTTACATGAGCTTTATCAATAACATCTGTATAAATGGTTTTTTAAAAATTAACTATGTATATGCCCATGCCGAAGTTGAGCAATAAAATGAATGCTGTTTGCACTGTCACAGCATCAAAGTTTTTAAAGAATATTGAGTTTGTAATGAATTGTTTTGAAATAATTTATGATTGGCTTTATGAAGGGTGACAGCATGTGAGTCTTAAAATGAGTTCAAGGAAAATGCATGCCTGCCTTAGTTAATCCCTTTGTCACACTGCAGAGCTTCCAAGAGCTCAGGACCCCCTTTCTGTCCCCAGAGCAGAGAAGGGGTGCGTTTTCTCTTGCCACGGGAACTTGACTGGTTGGCCGTGGCTGACAGGGCTATGTGAAGATGGATTTCTGAGACCTTTCTAGGCTTAGTGGGGAAGAGATTTGGTCCTGCAACCAACCACGTCTGTCAAGGATCTGGAGGACAGAGATATGGTAGGGCCATCATATTTGCCAGCCCTTACTTTGATACTGAGCAGTAAAATCCTCAAAAATGAAAAGGAGAAATCAATTATGTTTTTTCTAGAAGCCATGGATGGACTTTAAGATTTATGATTCACAAATCTATAAATTGATGAAAGTCCAGTTAAATACATGGACAGGAGAAGGGATGAATATGGTGTTTTTTCATCCAGAATATGACTGTGTTTAAGTCTCTACACAGCACAGGCTCCAACAGAATGGAGCGTCTGGGAAACGCAGTGTTAAGTAGCAGTGGTATGCAGTATGTTAAAGTTCAGAGTGGGCATGTTGTCCTTTTTTATATTCTTTTGAAATTTATTTTTTGGCTTTGTCTCACATTGCCACATTTACAGGTTTTATCTAAAATTTGTAAAGTTTTAATATATTTGTGATTTTTAGTATTATAATAGTGTATAAATTACCCAAAAGTTTGATTTGACTAATGTGTGATTGGAAGTTTTTCTGCTGTGTGGTAACCTGAAAAGTTTGTCCCTTTGTTATAATGAAGTTTTAGTCATGTCACCCAATGCATTTATTTGTACTTTATATCTCAAATGCTTGCAGTAGGATATATACAACAGAACAAGAGCCTAGCAACAGTACAGAGGTAATCACACAGAAAAAGCATTACATTCCTTTTTTAACACTCTTAGCAAACTAGACAAACCAGATTTTAAAGTTAAATTTTAATTAAAAAGTATTTACCCTAAATGTGACCTGTGTTCATTCAGCAAATATTTACTGTGCTCCTGTGTGCCAGGCTCTATACTAGGCATATAGCTTTGCACGGCTGTTAGAAAACTGAACTTCCAAACTAGTGCTTCTAGCCTGTCTCGGTGAAGGCCAAATTCAAACTTAGGTACCCAGAAACTAATTTGTGTACAGCAAAGAAATCAGTCATGATGGGAGCTCGTAATTAAGTACTGCATCAAGGCCCTGAATCCCAGACTTGGTTTTTAAAATAGTTGGTTTGGCGCTGGGAGCAGTGGGGTCTGTGACTCCTACCCCTGTGACACATAAGATCCAGTCACAGTCTCTGGACAGGTAGTTCCTTCCTCACGTGTTTGTGTTCATCATACAGTTGCCAGCCTCTTACTCCTTACTTTGGCAAGAGGAAGCTGCATTTCCAAGGTGATGTGCTCCACTGTTGATGAGTATACCTTCTGTGGATATTTGAGCTAGAGTTTACATAAGATATCAGTTAGTCTCTAATATGAGTTTGAAACCCCACTTCCGTCTCCCTTATGGTATTATATGAGTGAAGGAAGTAGAGCGGCACCTGTAGCAGTCGGTGGGGTTGGCGAGGGACCCTTCTAAAATGTTTCTCCTAAAACAGGTTTTCAGTATGCCTAAATGTGGGATCTAACAGGTCCCTCTATAAACTGCAACTTAAGCCCCAATTTTGGATTCTTCCTTTGGCTCAGACCAGTCCCTCTCATTTCTCTGACACCAGCCGCCGCCTGCCCTTCTCATTCTCCTATAGAGACACCCCCGTCTCATTGTTGTTTACCGTGATGCCTCTTTCCTTTGCAAATAAACTTCCCTTACAGCTTTAACCCCTTCACCAAAGGCCTTATTCTGCCTCACCTCAACACTGGTTCTTTCTTTTCCTTCCCATCCTTATGAGGGGAGGCAGCTAATTCTCCAGGGCCTCACCCAACATAGTGATACACAGTTAAATAATTTTTTTAAAAAAAAGTCATATACA